TACCTGGTGAGCAAATCGATCTGGTTTCGCTAAACCAAACAGTGAAAGGCGGGGAAGATTGGAGGATTTACTCCACCACTTATTGTTTTCGGAATACAAAGAACACAGTCTGGATGTCTGCGGTTCAAGAGCCCGATTACTTTCAATTTCAGATGCTAAATAAATTGCGAAACCTCATGGTACTAAAGACTCGCGAATGAAGTTCATTTCAGTAAGAGTACTTGTGGCAGTGGGCCTGAGGGTTGCTATACCTAACGGTAAATCAGGGCTCCAAGTGGAAGCCTCATTTGAATGCAGTTTGGTGTTCGAAACTGCTCGTTTTAGACTAGTAGACAGATACCACGTCCGCGCTGAGTAGACCATGGTCCAAAGGCCACAAAGTTCATCCTAAGAGCCAACTATGTAAAGAAAACGGATGAGACAACTGTCAGGAAGGTCAGAGTCCTGAAAACAACCCCAGGATACATGAAGCCTACCGAAACCCTCACACTCCACCAAGCCATCAATCATCCGAGCCGAAAAAGTCAGCTGCCGATTAGACGCTGACGCACTCAATCAATTCAGCAATGGTTATCAATGATTAGTGTTCAGGCATTTCATAGAAGCACGGCCGACGATGATGAGTGCTCAGGCGCTTCATATAGTCAAGACCGACAACGATGAGCGCTCACCCAACGCCGATTGGAAAGCGTGAACTGAAGTACACGTGTCGCAATTTTTTGCGCTCCAGCGAGAAGGGTCAACTGGCTACGACAAAAAAACTGCGACAAAGCAGAGCAAGAGGCAACAAGTGCTCTGATAGCAGAAAGACCAAATCCAGAGACGCGGAATAGCGGCGGGTTGTGAAATAACTCAAAGTTATTTGGGAAACTTCAACAGTGAAGGTGCGCAACTTGCCGAAAGGGAGAGCTTTCCATCAAGCAACAAATGGGAAACATCGGGTTTAAGAATCCGGAAATGTCTATCCTACTTCCAAGGCCGATTCATCGGTTCGTCGACGAATTGCGCGCAGGGAACGGGCGACCATGTACTGCATCACAGTTTTGAATCCAGGTGGGTGTCTGTGAATACACTGCGTATTGTCCTATTGCCTGGATTTTTGCCACATAACCACCAGGTTATTGGATGTGCACACACAAGACCCATGAAGACGGTACTCCCCGCGCTTAGGGCTTCCTCTCGATGGATATCCCTTGATAAGGGAGTTTACGGTCGTCTCCTAATAGACTAAACACGTGGCGATATGGCCTACTTCAGTTTAGATGCGATGAGGGGAAAGACCTACTGGAAAATATCAGCCCCAAATTGGAAAGATCAACATGGTATTCGTACCAGCATTCTAACAAACCGAATTCATCTGGTCGCCAACCAGAAAGAGGAAACGGTACTCGGCGAAAAAGTTGTGCAATCTCTTTTATAGGTTAGTTTGGTCCCGCAGATCCACATTTTTGCCCAGCGAAGAGTCAACGATAGGCCCAACAAGAACTTAGAAAGACCTGCAAGTCCAGAATATAATGGGTCTTACGGTGGCTGCTCACAAGCGGCCGTGTTACCTTGTTGAACATTGCGTGTACACACCGCAAACCCGATACAGGTTGAGGTTTAGTTTTTTCGATGGTTCTCGGCCTACTGAATGATACGATATTCAAGGTTCGAGCGGAATTCGTAAAACGATGCTGGTGACCGATCGACCGACATAGTTTTCTTAGCTGACACGAGGATTTGCAAAACGGAAATACCAGCAGGTGGGTTGTGAAAAAACTTGGGTGCTTGATGAGCACTTCTGCGAGGGCACAGGTTAATCGATGGGGATAGGTAGACACCAACAAATGGGTAGCTTTGTCCACGTTAGTTCTAAGAAAGTGCCCTAGAAGGACGATACCCCTTCGAGGGGGGACGAGACGTTTGCAAGCGAATTAGCAAGTTCACCGAACAGAACAGCAGCTACCACCTAGGTTGTAGTTAGTGTGAAACCACAAACTTTGAGTAGAGCAAGGCGACTTGTGAAGATCCACCCCATCCACTAGAAGTACGGTTACAGCGAGAAATAGAATGGTCGTTTAACTGTGTCACCGAAAACAGCTTCACGTGTCCTGGATAAAGGTCTGGTTCGTCGGTGAATTTCCAGTATATATGACGGGTTACTGCGCATGAACGTTCGGAGTCGGATGGCTCAAAATGAATCGCAACTGAAATTGCATGACTTTCGGGTACTGAAGACAGACACTCTTCCCATCTCGTGAATGGACACAAACCTCGGTATACAGGAGCACCGGGCAGCTTGACTGTCTCATCACTCCAAGTGGTACATTTTGAGTTCTCCTACGCGAAGCTGAATTAGAAGCTCGATTATGGATGGCGTAGGGCTTTGGATGTTCTTGAAAACGTTGTACTAACCACGATAATAAATAATATTTGTCCGGCAGTGACATACTTTCATGCACAGAGGCCGTGTCGCCATAAGGAAGAACGAGGGAGGAGAGATAAACAGGGTGTCATGACAGAAACAACCGAAAACCCACGCAAGAATTGGGTTCGAACCAAAGGACCCTCAAGTATTGCCCCCTTAACTGCACAGCTATATTGAAGACGTTATTGATTAAGTCAAATGACACAACAGGCTAATTTAGTTGTTATCAACAAGTGAAAATAATGAATGAAACAAAAATTACATGAATATATACATGAAATAGGCCCCATCATAGCCGCTTATGCATTGGGACCACGTTCCGATTTGGTCTCTAAAGTTCCTGATTGCGGAACCATTCTGTTAGTAGCTTCGTTTTCACCTAGATTTTCAATATTGGAGAGAGAAAGGGCGGTGTTAGAACAAACGGGAGATGATGGGGAGACATCAGCTGATTGCAGTTTTTCAGCCGTTTCCTGTGATTGGTCGGTATGTGAACCGACTAATTCACTGGCTAACTGGTCAATACCAGTAGCATTACCAGAGTCCAGATTAGGTGTATTCGGCTTCGATGTGTACTGGGGTTCGGTGGCATCAGTGGTGCAAAATACGGGAGGGCGGACGAGACATTCATCATCCAGGCGCGATAACTCATCAGTTTGTAAAGGCAGCTCAGTTTGAGACGCATTCGGAGTTTCGGTATACACACCGTACAGAATGTTATGAATAAACTGATCCTCAGTTTCCGCTGTTTCCAAGGCGTATGATTGGGGTGAGAGAGTTCCGTTCTCATCCGAGGTGCGCGCAGTTGTCTGCGCGGAATCAACTTCGCAACGTATTCCGTCGGTCCGTGCAAGCTGCTCGGTTTCAAAAGTGTTTGGAAGTCCGATGGGCGAAGCATTTACGGTACCATCGACACCAGGCGAAGATTCAGTCCTTAGTTCCAAACTGGATGATTGCATCGAATGAACGCAACACTCGTCAGCTGACTTTCTTTGTTCGTTTGCATCCGTAAGTTGCTCGACTGGAGGCGTATTGGCGCCGCTGACAGATTCACCAACGGTAATCTCATCAAAACGGGTATTCTCCCTGTTTGCGTTCAAACTCGGTGATTCGGGCAGAGAGATCTTGGGTTCGTCGGATATAAGAGACCGCACACAATTGTTATCAGATGCCGACAGGGCTCCATTTGGTCCCACAGGTTGGGCACGTTGAGAATCATACTGAGTATCAGAACTGTCATGATGAAAGCCTACTTCGTCTGGCTCCAGACCAGTGTCTTTTGTTTCATCCACTGATCCGAGCATGTCCAGTCCTGCGTCAGATTGTTCAACTGATCGTATCTGTTCATCAGTCTTTGTAGGCGGAGAAACGTCTGTGCTGATTCCAAACGCATCACCTAGTATGTCATCAAGACACACATCTTCCGCCGTCCCAAGGGGCTCCGTTTCAGAAGCTGTCGGTTCTGGAGTCACAACATTCTTCTCTGTTGAGCAACAATCTGCGGAAGACGCAAGAGGCATGGTCGATTGGGCAGACTGCTTCACCTTCGTGTCCGATACGGGGACGTGGGGAAGTGGTGTTTGACTGCACGTCTGAGAGATCAATGTTTGGGGAGAAGCGGATGCAATGTGGTCTCCAGTTTGTGGAAACGCCGTGTACGGTGCACCACCGACTGAACTAGAAACACTCACAGTGTGGTGGTTGACCCGGTCGGCTAGGAGGTTCAACTCCGACACAGGTACACTGAGGACAGCCTTGAGCACAGAGGTGTGTTGTGAGGGGTCAATTCTAGATTTATCTCCTGCCTCATGTGTCTCTTGTTTCATAATACGGGATGCGGGAGTAGGAGCATTTGAACTGGATGTTTCTGAGTTTGCGGAGCTGGGATCGTAGGGAGTCGAGGTAGCAGTACTGCTATGGACGAAAATCGGTTCAGCCTGGGCTAGTGGAGATTCGGTTGTCAGTAGACAGGGGGTTGAGTGTGAAGAGGTTTTTCTCGTACTGTCAGCCTTGAGCTCACCGAACTGTGAAGCTTGAGCATCCGGTTGTTGGGTACATCTGTCTGAGGACGCCGTGGTTGTTGCAGTTAGCTCACCACTGGGAGGAGCATGGACTTGATAAACGAAAGGAGTTTGAGACAGCTGAGTGTCGCCTAGGCCGTTGAACATTGGTGTGTGTTCAGGATCGACTTCAAGCTGGAGAAGGGATGGGTCAGGTTTTTCATCCAGTGCGGCGAGAAAGCTCATCGGCTCCGGGGAAGATGGAGGTGTAGGTGAATCAAGCTGAAATAATAAGGGGTGAGTAGAAATCAATTGGCAGTTACACGCAGTACAAAGCTGTTTCTCGTGTATCAGTAGTCAGAGTAGGAAGGGGAAATAAACAGGTATCTATTGAGAGAGGCTCTTCAGAATCCGACCGCCAGCCGACACTCAAATCTCACGTGCAGTTTCCGGGTAAGATGTGACCTAGTGCGACTCACGGGCTAACTCAGGGGACAATCATATGAAGACGGAACCGACCGATAGTGCCAATCAGGTACGGCAGTGAGACATCCGTGTTGAACACTGATTTCGTATTCTCGATGACGATGATGATACGCCAATCAGTCATACAGTGACTCAGGAGTACTATCGACGCATTGGACCAAAGAATGCGTCGGATTTGTAAGGTGCGTTCAGATGATGAACTGGAACTTCTCAGTGTAGATTGGCTGGGTTTGAGGTAATTAACATGTTTCAATGAGAATAAAGCGCTGATCGATGACGAGATACGCCAATCAGTCATACAGTGACTCAGGAGTACTATCGACGCATTGGACCAAAGAATGCGTCGGATTTGTAAGGTGCGTTCAGATGATGAACTGGAACTTCTCAGTGTAGATTGGCTGGGTTTGAGGTAATTAACATGTTTCAATGAGAATAAAGCGCTGAGTCATTAAAGTATTCAATATCCCCGTTCAAACGAATCACCAAGAAAGAATCTACGCATGCAAACTTTCAAACTTATACCGAAAGCGACTATAGAACACAGAGAAATCAGTGAATACGGGAATCACAGTTACCTCCTCTGAGATTCCGCTTAGGTGATCTCGTTAGCCATTGAATCCCGATGGATATTCTTCAGCAATTTAGATAAAGCTTTGCGGGATCCCAGCACACTGTCTGGACACAAGGCCCGCTGCCGGATGATGATCAGAGCTCAGCTGTAGCACCCTTTCACTGCCTAACTGCCATGCCACCAGAAAAAAGCACGGGGGCTGGGATACTGCCAGGTTGTCCAAGCCTAGACCGGGAAATCGAGAGGCAGAGGCCGTGTTCGAGCCAGTAATCACGTGACTTGAAGTGTGCGTTCCCACTGCATTTAACCTTTGAAGCACACAGGATTCCGTAATCAAGTGTTCATAATGTGGGGCGACTGCGTTCTGTGCTACGAATCCGTTTCTGAGACCACACTGACAACTGTTAAATGGCAATCTGCAATCAACATCAAGCTATCCAGTAGGTCTAGAGGAAACTGGAAGCAAGAGGGCGTCCAGAACAGTAAATAGATGATCCTGTCCGAATCTGAGCGCCACATTACACGCGCAACTACATACCGTAATAAGTAAATAAATAAATAAACAAATAAATAAATAAATAAAATAAAAAATAAATAAATAAATAATAATAAAAATAGATAATAAAGTGAATAAATAAAATAAAAAAGCACAGAGCAATATTTTTGATCAGTATGCCCGGCGACGGGTAACTATCAGAAAAAACAAAATGCCCAGATCTCTGAGTTCTGCTGTGTGTGTGCGGAAGGGGTTGATCAAGAGTAGCTTTTTGAAAACGGGTCCGTAGTTCGCACTGAGGAGTGATTTCTCCAGAAGGGAACGGCTGCACCGACAAATTTACCCAATAAAAGCATTTGTGTTCAAATGACTAGATGTGATGGGGTCCATCCCACGCTTTGAGTCCTGCCCCCCCCCCCCACCCCGAAAATATAATCCTCCATCGGAGATTAACTTGAAATACAGGTGAAGGATGCGAGGAAGGGGAAATAAACAGGTATCTATTGAGAGAGGCTCTTCAGAATCCGACCGCCAGCCGACACTCAAATCTCACGTGCAGTTTCCGGGTAAGATGTGACCTAGTGCGACTCACGGGCTAACTCAGGGGACAATCATATGAAGACGGAACCGACCGATAGTGCCAATCAGGTACGGCAGTGAGACATCCGTGTTGAACACTGATTTCGTATTCTCGATGACGATGATGATACGCCAATCAGTCATACAGTGACTCAGGAGTACTATCGACGCATTGGACCAAAGAATGCGTCGGATTTGTAAGGTGCGTTCAGATGATGAATTTGAACTTCTCAGCGTAGATTGGCTGGGTTTGAGGTAATTAACATGTTTCAATGAGAATAAAGCGCTGAGTCATTAAAGTATTCAATATCCCCGTTCAAACGAATCACCAAGAAAGAATCTACGCATGCAAACTTTCAAACTTATACCGAAAGCGACTATAGAACACAGAGAAATCAGTGAATACGGGAATCACAGTTACCTCCTCTGAGATTCCGCTTAGGTGATCTCGTTAGCCATTGAATCCCGATGGATATTCTTCAGCAATTTAGATAAAGCTTTGCGGGATCCCAGCACACTGTCTGGACACAAGGCCCGCTGCCGGATGATGATCAGAGCTCAGCTGTAGCACCCTTTCACTGCCTAACTGCCATGCCACCAGAAAAAAGCACGGGGGCTGGGATACTGCCAGGTTGTCCAAGCCTAGACCGGGAAATCGAGAGGCAGAGGCCGTGTTCGAGCCAGTAATCACGTGACTTGAAGTGTGCGTTCCCACTGCATTTAACCTTTGAAGCACACAGGATTCCGTAATCAAGTGTTCATAATGTGGGGCGACTGCGTTCTGTGCTACGAATCCGTTTCTGAGACCACACTGACAACTGTTAAATGGCAATCTGCAATCAACATCAAGCTATCCAGTAGGTCTAGAGGAAACTGGAAGCAAGAGGGCGTCCAGAACAGTAAATAGATGATCCTGTCCGAATCTGAGCGCCACATTACACGCGCAACTACATACCGTAATAAGTAAATAAATAAATAAACAAATAAATAAATAAATAAAATAAAAAATAAATAAATAAATAATAATAAAAATAGATAATAAAGTGAATAAATAAAATAAAAAAGCACAGAGCAATATTTTTGGTCAGTATGCCCGGCGACGGGTAACTATCAGAAAAAACAAAATGCCCAGATCTCTGAGTTCTGCTGTGTGTGTGCGGAAGGGGTTGATCAAGAGTAGCTTTTTGAAAACGGGTCCGTAGTTCGCACTGAGGAGTGATTTCTCCAGAAGGGAACGGCTGCACCGACAAATTTACCCAATAAAAGCATTTGTGTTCAAATGACTAGATGTGATGGGGTCCATCCCACGCTTTGAGTCCTGCCCCCCCCCCCCCCCGAAAACCTATTCCTTCAACGGAGATTAACTTGAAGTACAGGTGGAGGATGCGCCACGAGCTTTTTTTGTCCACCACTCTCATGCTCAGGACCCCCGCGACGAATTTGGTCTAGGTGAAAACGACCAACAAAGCTGGATTTGCAAGGCACTTACTGTCAAATTAACGGACTGCATCCAACTCGTGGCTGGTGGGCAAGACGGATCGTTTTCCGGGTCTTTGGGGTTGTCGTCATCGGCAGTCGCTAACGCGTCCGCTATTGGAGCACTGGACTGGCAGTAATAGGCCAACTGGGAATGCATTCCGTCTGTTGCGGCGTCCAGTTTTTTGGCAGCCCACCGTCTGGCCCATCGACCCATGGGTTCAACAAACCGAAGTAACGAGTAGGCGTACTCGATAGCTGTCAAGTCACACCCATATACGTCCGAGAAGCGACCCATTTCGGCGGAACTAGCAGAGAAAGCAACAAGGGGAAAAGGCGAGATCAAAATAGGAGCTTCAACTGCGCAGTACGAGAGATCGGATATGGTGCAATGTGGGGAAAAACGAGCAGAGTGACTCCAAGCAGTGACTTCGGGAGAAACTAATGAAATAGGAATATGGGAAACAAATTCAACATGACTCAACATCGCCTAGGTCGGGCTCGGTACTAGCTCATCTGAAACCGACAGTATGCCTACAAGTGACCAATTCAATCAAAGTCTGAGTCATGAGGATACCTACATAAAATTCGGATGAGTATTCACATTTTTCATAATCTCGTTCAGTTCAATTGTAGCACCCTTTCGGTGCCTGGCTGGCATGCCACACGAAGGAGGCACGACGGCTGGGATACTGCCAGGTCGCCCGAGCCTAAACA